CAGGAATTTCCATTTGCATTTCATATATCATATTTAGTATGCTGAAGGTAGCATGCAAGAGGCTTTGCACCATGGTCTCATGTAATTCTCAGAGTAGTTAGCTGTTGATGTGTAGCAACTACAGTAGAGTTCTATGGAAGATGCACAAATAAGGCTGTCCTCAGAGTTCACTAGCAAATGTATGGGTGATGGGTTGACTAGTTCCTTGGGAGAGCAAATCAAGAGGCTGTCTTAAATGTGGGTCTACAGAGTCTAGGAACCAAGGTTGGACATAAAATTAGGATTGATTACAATCAAGTTGCTGAGACCTTACGCAATTGTATGGATACTGGGATTGTGTGTTCACATGGATATCTGGAATAAGGAGAGCCCGAGAGGCTGGTGTTAGTGGAGGAATCCTGGAGTAGTAGAATCCCAAATACAAACATGACATTACTGTTTCCTTGACCAAGCCATCCCACTGGGGTGGATGAGAGCACTCACATGCCCTGAGCATAGAGATATTTCTTGACATCAACTTAGCCTCTTATTATGAGAGAGAGAGGAGTCCAACACTCCCACTCCAATACTCACCAAGCAATCATCTTCAATTTGGTTTCCTTTCATAGGTCACTCTTCATAGGCTACAGTTATATTTCTCCTTTTAAGTAAGTACATTGACATCTCTGTGGTTTTAACTGACTTCTTCTCTCTGAACACCAGCTTCCACATCTGTAAAACAGGATTGTGGAGACAATTAAATTATAGTGTTTGTAAAGCATGTAGGAGAAAGAGAGGCACACAGTAAGTAATCAGTAAATGGAAAATGTTGTTTTCATTGTTATATATAATTGGTCAATGAACTTGGCTAATGTGAGTTCTCCTTTGATAGACAACTCTGCAGGTGATGACAACCAGCTCAAGTTTTAAGTCTGCATTTCTGATACTGACTCTCTCTCCTCTCGTGTGAATTTTGAAAGAGCTTACCACCTTATGGGGTCATGTCTGGGCAGTCAGCTGGCCTTCCCCAGGTCACTCCCTTCTGCATGAAACTCTGAAGTGACAGTATTATCATCCCCATTTAATGGGCAAGGTAAACTGAGACCTAAAAAGACTAAACGTCAAAGGTCATCCAGCTCATAAGAGGAATATCAGGCCTTCAACTCCAATCTTCCTGCAGCCCTGGGCTGCCTTGCTTTCCAGTAAGCAAGGAGCTATGCAATTTATGATGAACTTCTTTGTTCTTGCTGCAGCCACTGCCCTAAAGGTTATTTCTGCCTGAAAACATCTGACAACCCAGATTTTAACTACACCAGCTTTGATTCCTTTGCTTGGGCTTTCCTCTCACTGTTCCGCCTCATGACACAGGATTCTTGGGAACGCCTCTACCAACAGGTATTAACTGGCATGTCCCCAAACAGACTCAGTTGGAGGCTGAGGGGTCAGGTCCAACATGGCTACATTTTTCCTAGAGGAACCTGACAACGTCCAGGGCCCATGTACTTTGGGTACATATCTCTTCTTTCTCTTGAATCTTCAGACCCTGAGGGCTTCTGGGAAAATCTACATGGTCTTTTTCGTGCTTGTCATCTTCCTGGGATCTTTCTACCTAGTCAACCTGATCTTGGCTGTGGTCACCATGGCATATGAAGAGCAAAACCAGGCAACCATTGATGAAATTGAAGCCAAGGAAAAGAAGTTCCAGGAGGCCCTCGAGATGCTCCGGAAAGAGGAGGAGGTCTGTGAAGGATGAAGCTTTGGAAAGTCTGTTGCAGGCTGTATGTTATTGGGGAGAAGTATGGACCAGCCACTTAGATTAAGGTTGTTATTCTTGGGAACTTTAGGAAGATTCATCTCACCTTAGGAATCATCTTAGGTCAGTTTTTCTCAAAAAAAAAAAAAGAACCTGAGTGAAGATGTTATGAAAGTGATGTATTTATTAAAGGATGCTCTCAGAAGGAGAGTCAAGAAAACGGAATGGAACAAGGGAAGAGTTAAATAGGAAAGTGGCTTCAGCTAGAGACTACCTTCAACCTGATCCTATGTGAGCTCTGGGGCATGACTTGTACCACAGAGTAAGCCCTACACTGAGGGAAGAGGGCTTGCCTTTGGTATCCCCATGCCTGCCTCAGCCAAATGTACAGTGAAAAGAAATTTTTTGCAGAATACTGTAGCTGTAAGCCATTAGCAGCTAACACTCAAGTGGCTGGAGATGAATGTGCTGACCTGATAAAAGAGATCTGGGCAGGGCATCAACAAGGTCTACTATAGGGTATGAATGAGGGAGGTGACCAAGAGGTGGCTCTTCCTACCATGTCTCAATCCCACAACCACCCAGGTTTTAATCCTGACCTCCTCTGTTTCAGATGCCCTCACCCCTGTGAAACCTCATTTCTGGGGGACACATTTATGCTAAACTCAACCAGATACTGTTGGCTGCAGCTGCTGTCCTCTTTCTTCAGGTGCTGGCAGCACTGGGGATCGACACAGCCTCTCTCCACTCCTACAACGGATCCCCTTTAACCTCCAAAAATGCCAGTGAGAGAAGGCACAGGATGAAGCCAAGAGTGTCTGACGGCTCTGCAGATGACAACAAATCACCCCAATCAGAGACTTACAACCAGCACAGGATGGTAAGAGGCTCAGGTTTGTGCTCTAAAGATTACCCACCTTTGCAGCTGTCATGGACAGTAGGTTGAAGTGGGAAGAGGTTTGTGACAAAGACATAGCTGGAAGCACAGAGATAAGGAGGATGTTCTAGTAATTCCAACCCTCCCACTAATGGACGTCTAGACTTGGACAGGGTCATTATGGATGGGGAAAAGGGGTATATTGAAAAGACTTTTATGGGTAGGAGTGGAATTAACAAGACTGGGACTGTGGAATGTGGAAAAAGGAGAGGAGTCTAAAATGACTCCCAGATTTCAAGATTAGGCAATTAGATAGATGGTGATTCTAAAACAGGAGCACCAGAGGAAGAAGCCAGGTTTGTAGGAAAGGTGGTGGACCCACATTGGGCATGATAACTTTGAGGTGTCTGTAGACCCGTGGACATGAAGGGTCAGTTTCCTCCTTACACATTGATCTGCAATTCTAGAGCAGGGAAGGAAGGTTCTTTGTCCATGGTGCTGAAATCATTACAAGCTTATTTCTGACCTCATGTCTCAGCCCTTGCCACTCAAATTCCCACCTATAGTTGGCACAGAAGATCCCAGCACACAGCTCTGTGATACGATCCAGCCCAGGAATAACTTCAGCACCTCACTTCAGGTCCTGAAGCAATTCTGTCCCCTCCTCCCCCATCATAACCTCTACCTCCCACTCCAAGATTCCCTATACTTACCAAATTTCCTCCCACTTCCTTCTTCTCCCTTGAAAGTCCTCTGTACCCCAATATATCCCCTTTCTACAGGCCTGAGAGATAATAACCCCTTTGTGTGAGAATAATTTCCACACTAATAGTATGAGAAAAGGGATAAACCTGACTATTGTTCAGGCCTTCTGACCCTCAGTTTCTTCTCAATCTCTTTTCCTGTGCTCATCTAAAGGATGCTCCACTTTTTTGGAATATCATCTCTACAACACTCAAACTTATGTGTGCATATCAGACACACTCACATGCATACCGGCCTCAGTGACACTCATTTCAGCATTCGTAAGAGTTTGTGCCCTTCTCTTCCTTGCTCTGTCTCTTTTGAACAGCACCTGGCATGCACGGGGCACAGTTCAGAAGACATTTCAAAAGGATTTGACTAGGGCTTTGACAATTGTAGAATAAGATGAATCACAGCTTTCATGGAAATGTCAATGACACTCTGAATTGGGCTTTAATTTCCCCCATTCAGTTAGCCCCATATAGAGTAGCACCTGGATGTCCAATAATTGTTTGGTGTGTGTGCTTGTCTCTCCAGCTAGGCTCATCTTTGAAAAGAAAAAAGAGGAACTTTGTCTTGTTAATTTAACAATACTAGATGTTTGGTATAAAGAGATGACTAAAACATGGTTCCTTTCCTAAGGACTTCCATTCAGATGGAGGAGGAAGATATAAAAACAGCTATGTGTTAAGTACTGTATTAGGGACAGGCACACGGTGTTTGGAGAATAGAGGAGAAAACACGACTCTTATGGGGTTGGAGGTGTGTCAGGAAAGGCTTCACAGAGAATGATTGAAGTGAATAGTAACTAATGAGTAGGGGTTCTTCCAGTAATTGAGGCCTGGAAGAGTTTGGAGAGAAGTATTTTCCAGGCAGAAAGAAGAATATGTGTGTACAAAGACAGGAAAGGACCACTGGGTAGTTCTTTAATGCTCACTGGTTGATTGGAGTCCATACAGGAAGGCGTCTCCTTCCTCTTTTCCTAGGTGTATTCATGCGGTAAATAGACCACAGGCAGTTTTTATATGAAGCTGTTTTCTAACAGAAATGAGAGAATTTGGGGGGGTAGCACCTAGGAGAAACACAGCAGGGGTTTAGGGTAACACACAGGAAAACAATTGGCCTACTTAGATGATGCATTTTAAGGCAAGCCTAATACTTAGATTCAGAAGTCATCGTCCACCATAGGTTAATTCTGAAATGTTAATTGGTGGCCAAGGAGGCACTACCTGTCAAATATGAGACCTAAATTTTCTTCCCAGTTTTTTCAATGGTTTGCTTAGCACCCAAATATAACTCAGTCATCCCATCTTTAGTAAGGATTTGCTTACTTTGCTCTTTTGCTTCAAAAGTGGAAAGAATTTATGAATTTTTATGAGTTCCATAGTCCTTGGACGTAAATTCTAGGCAAAGAGTGCTCTGTTTACAATACCAGAGCAGCAATGATGGTTGCTGAACAGGGCTGGGCTCCAAATTATTTTAAAAAGTATAACTTTAGTTCTGTGGGGTCAGGTGATAAGTAAGGAGGACTCTAACTGACAAGATGTCCCCAACGTTAGTAGTTTAGTAAATCAAAGGAATTGAAGAAGAGGGAAATTTTCAGTAGTATGATCAGAATTTGGTAAGAAGTCAGCTTACTGACTCTCCAGGGACTCTGGGCCTATGAATTAGCTCCTTTCCTCTGACAATTGTGCACCACACAGTTACTTCCAAGGAAGATTTTGATGAGAGATGTTTATTGATTTGGAGGAATGGCATTATTCTTCCAGGAAAGGAGGCTGTAACTCTCCCTTCAATCTCCCTATTGTTGACTGTTCAGTTTGCCTCAAGGGATCCTGGAAGCTTATTACATTACAAAGCCCTCATCTCTTCCTTTGCACACAAACACTACCACCCATGTAGGCTGAATCTAATGAATTGTGGAACCTAATTTTCAGACAATAAAGGGCAGTAGTTCATTCAACAACCATTTACCAAGCATGTTCCAGAAATGGTGTGCATAACAGAGTTAGTCTCCTTAGATCACAGCTTTGCACTTGGAGCAGCCCAGTGACCAAAGGCTGACAAACAGCTAACACAACCCAGCAAGCCACAAGGTTGTTCTCTGACATGTCCTTGGTCATGAATGACCTATTTGCTGATCTTAATTAAGCACCTTGTAACTTCTCATCTCTCCTGGCTTTTTCATTCAACAACCATTTACCAAGCATGTTCCAGAAATGGTGTGCATAACAGAGTTAGTCTCCTTAGATCACAGCTTTGCACTTGGAGCAGCCCAGTGACCAAAGGCTGACAAACCGCTAACTCAACCCAGCAAGCCACAAGGTTGTCCTCTGACATGTCCTTGGTCATGAATGACCTATTTGCTGATCTTAAGCACCTTGTAACTTCTCATCTCTCCTGGCTTTTTCCCAGGCTGTGTCAAGAATACTGTTTTTCCCTGTTCTCTCCCCATGTTTACCTAGAATACCCCTTAGATCTGCATCTTTAATTTGCTGCTGGAAGGTCATGAAAATCGGGGCAGGGAAATGGGAGTGAGTAGAGGGAAGTGCTGAGCTCCAGATTTGCTTGCAGGACGAGCTTCCAGCCTTATTCTTTCCTGCTCCTCTGGGTCATTGCCCAGTCTTTCCTAGGCCTCAACTCTGGGCGACGGCGTGCTAGCCATGGTAGTGTGTTCCATTTCCGGTCCCCTGCCCGAGACGGTTCATTCCCTGATGGAGCTGCAGATGATGGAGTCTTTCTTGGAGACCATGACAGCCATCGGGGCTCCCTGCTTCTGGGCGGGGGTGCTGGCCAGCAAGGCACCCACCCTAAGAGCCCTCTGCCTCAACCCACCAACCCTGGTTCAGGGCATGGAGAAGATGGACACCCCACATTGCCCACTGCTGAGCTTGGCCCTGGAGTCACAGACCTCTCGGTGAGTTTGTAAATGTTCCAGACTATTTGAGGCTGTCCTCTAGCTAGAGGCCTTGGGCCAAGAAGCCCTGAGTGTCATCCATGGAACAGTCCTTTAGATATCATTCTGCCCAACTCCTTCCCACCTGCCCCCACTTTAAAGACAGGGCAGATGAGACCCAGAGAAAGAAATTGGATTTACTTGAGGTCAAGCGGGTTTTCTGGTTTACTCTGTGGTACAGTGATACAGATTATTTTTCAGTTGATCTCATATTTCTTCAGTGTTTCCCTGTCCCCACTCACTACCACTGTTTTAGAGAGAGGCCTGCTTGCTCCTGGATGAGTATGAGAAAAATTAAAGGTTCTTTTCTGCCTACCTGTGGCTCTGTGCAAGCTACCCTGGGCTTGGCAAAGGGACCCAGAGAAATCCTGGGAGGTGCCCTAGACAGATCTTAGCAGAAGCAGAGTATCCCTTGATTTACTCAGAAAAGCAATAACTTGCCAAAATGCACAACTTAGGCAACAGTGACTAACTAGCCAGCACTCTTATTGGAATAATCACAGAGTGTAATGACAATCCAGGGACACTTCATTGAGTTGGGAGCCATGACTTAATGTGAGCTCTCCCTCCAGTTGTAGTAATGACGCTGCTAGTGTTTTTCATTTGCCCTCTCTGGCTAGCAGTTTGCAAATAGACTTGTGAACAGACCATTATATGGTCTACTGACTTAATAAGTCTTACAGAGTGACCTCAGCTCCATCTCTGATTGGGTGCCAGCAAGAAACAGAAGAATCACTGTGCAAGTGGAGAGGGTTTAATGGAATATGTACAGAGGGTTGGGCAGGGCTCTGGGAACTAAAAAGGTATAGTGAGGCCCCTAGAGACTAGCAAAGTGGGAAGCTGGATGTGCTAAGGTAGAGGGTGAGGGAAAGGATGAGAACTAGGACCCAGCAAGAGCTGCCACTGTGTGAGAGGTAGCCCGGCAGAACTTGTGATCTCAGGTGGAGGACTGCAATCATGACCCAGCCACGGCCCAGCAGGGAAGGTGGTAGATACCGACTCCCCTCTCCTTCCAGCCTCTGATCTCCTATCTGCGCCATCGTTCAAACCTGACCAGAACCAGAGGGTGACAGTGACACAGTTTGTACAGGTCACCCTCCCCAGGTACAGAGCTAGCTGAGCAGAGAAGGGAGAACAGGTTTCCGAGGACCAACAGAGAATCACCAAAGAGTCGGAAAGTCCAAGCTGGTCTGCAGGGTCCCTCAGAGGTGTTTTAACATCCTAGAAAATGCCTCATTCAGGAAACCTTGTTATTGTTCCCTAGATTGTCACTTTCCTAGATGTTGTATCCCTGATGCATTTTAGTTACATTATTTGGCTTGATGCAAGATTAACTCTTTAAGCCCTTCTGTGTCATGTAGACCTGGGTTTCAATCACAGCTGTGCGATTTACCAGCCGTCACCTTTAGCAAGTCCCTTGAATTCTTCAAACCTCCATGTCTCCTTTTGTAAAAAGGTTTCTAAATAGTCGAAGAGTTAAATGGAATAACAAAGTACCTACATCTATATACACGTGTCTGACAAATAATAGTATCAGCTAGTATCTTTTGTTGAGTCCTCATGGTTGGGAAATTTATAAACTTATATTTATTAAGCATTTACTATATACCTATGAACTTCATCTATGGTAGGTGCTCAGTAAATGTTAAATTTGGATTCTGAATAGTTTGCGCTGTGCTGAATCAGCAGCTCTGGGCCTTGAACTCCCCACGTCTCAGATGTGTGACTAGAGTTAGGGGCCTGGCACAGAACCTCCAGGGAAGGCCTCAAGAGAAGCAACAAAAGGATTGTGTCAGAAAACTAATAACTGGACAATCAAGGCACACAAATGTTCCCCCAGAAGGAAAGAGAGTGTGTGGAATTGGAACTGGGTTATATGTTGAAAGGGAAAATGTGCCTGTTGGAAGAGAGATTGAGAGTAGAAATTCTGTGTAAAAGTCAGATGCACAGCTCAGAAGACATCTCATGATGGTCTGGCCTGCTGCTCCTCTCTTTGGCAGAAACCTCAGAGACCCTTGAGGTAGTCCTGTCCCCACCCTGCTGCCTAGGTCCCTGTCCTAGGGCAAGTGTTTGCAGAGCCTCAGGTGAGCCCAGGTCACTCCATTAGCTGCAAACCTGGGCTCTGTTTCTCCCTAGCTCTGTGTCCTGGTTGTCATGCCTGAGCTTTTACCCCATGTTCAAACAGCAGCCTGATTTCTCCAAGCATGAGGGCCATAGCTTCACTGGACAGCTCACAACCATGAGACTGGCCAATGAGAGACTGAGCGACCTGTGTTTCCCACTGAAGACCTCCGGTTGGGGGAGTGTCCTGACTCTGTTTGCGTCCTGGCAGGCATGTGATACAGGACAGAAGAAGACTTTATTATCAGCAGAATACCTGAATGAACCTTTCCGAGCCCAAAGGGCAATGAGTGTTGTCAGTATCATGACCTCTGTCCTCGAAGGTAAGTGTTGCTCATTGGAACGTCAGTCCACTGTGCTGTGTTGAGTCCCCATGTGAGTGGCAGTGGGGAGGCCCCAGACTTGTGTCAAAGAGCACCTGCCTCTGCATCCTAGGATCCTAAATACTCTTCTTTTTTTTGTGCCTTCACCCTTACTCAATGTGGGGTGTTTTTTTTTTAACCTGGATAATTTTTCAAAGACAATAGAATCAATGGAGAAAATGTTCGAGTCCATCTCTTGTTCAAATTAACATCTGCTTCATGTGTATTCACAAAACCAGATTTTAAAAAATGATCTGGCAGAGAATGTCAAGCTACCACTCAGGTATGCAAGAAATTTAATGATCTTTAACTTCCAAGGATGGCAAAATCCTGCTGTTTTCCTGGCTATAACTTTATGGTTATAATTTGACTTCTGTCTCAACTCCCATTATGCTAAGCATTGGAAGACAATTAAAATAAATTAATCAGATAGTTTAACTAAATTCTCATTAATTCAGGGGTTCATTAGTTCAGTGGGAATCCACTTAGTCTCTCCAGGGATGCATCTAAGTTCCTGTTGCTTACACCAAGCCAAGGGTGTGGCACTGGGTCATGGCCGCCTAACATTCAAGTTCCCAAAGACTATGGTTGTATCCTCCTCACCCTGAGTACAAGTCCTGTCTTCTTATCCAGTCTTTATTCTACCTCAGGATATGGAAAATATGGCCTTAATCGTATCTATTATTTATCTCCCCTAGACAAATTTAAAATGTCCTAGGCTAGCAGAGGGAGAAGGGAGCTTGGATGTAGCTGTGTTCCTGAGAAGGAGCCCTATGTGCTGTCCTCCCAGCTTTGGGACAAATCCTAACTGTGGGGGAGCACATGTTGGACAGTAGAAACCAAAAAAAAAAAGAAGAAGAAGAAGAAGAAGAACAACTTAAATACAGAGCTAATCTGTGCATTACTTTCCAGGTGGAGCCAGAGATGGCAGCCCTTAGAGAGAGACCCACATGCCCGGCATGGCACAGATACTGTAGAGTAGCATGAACTGGTAATACGCCTGGGGAGAGAAGACCTGAGCAGCCTCAGAGTGTGTCCTGTGGCCCCAGCATGACAGGACAGTAGCTGGGTGATGACCTCGCCCCTGTTGAAGGCTATGGAAGGGAATCTGGAGAGGCAAAGAGGGAGTAGCCATTTCCATGGCTCCCCTCCCAAAGACCAAATGGGAACTACGATGACTCAAGTAAATACACTTGGCAAAGACTAAGGACCGGCTCAACCCTCCATCACCCTTGAGTCAGTCCCCTGAACTCACACACAACCTCAGATAATGAAGTGGTAGCAGACACTAAATTAACTAAAACAAAGTCCTCTAGTTGGCCACTTGAAGTATAAATTGAATGCAGTTATGGGGTTGGGGAAATCTATACATTCCTTGCATACCTGAGTTTGTGTTTTGAGAGGTGTGTACACATTCCAGTGACAGCAGTGTGTCCAGGCTCTCATATTTTCCTCATTGAAAATTATTTAATTATTTTTATTGTAATAGTGTCTGCACACCCAAAACTTTTCATGGCTGCACAGAATTTCACCATGCTGATATGCCCATGATTTTTTGGCGGCCAAGTGGATTGCTGAGGTTATTTATTTATTTATTTATTTATTTATTTATTTATTGCTATTAGCCATCAAACAGCAAACAATGAATACAAACAGTTTGCTTTTTCATTTATTCCCAAGTACTATCAAACTTCCTCCTTTCCTCTCTTTTAATTTATTTACTTATCAACAAACATTCGTTGAGCACCTGCTACATGTCCAGCATTGTTCAACATGCTGGGGATTCGTTGAGAAAGAAGATAGAACCTTGCCCTCATGGAATCTACATCCTGGGAGCCAGGGCACACAGATGGTAAACACAAATAGACATTCAGGTAATGATAAGAAGGAGGAGAAAAAATCAAGTAGAGGAGGATATGGAGAGTAGGGGCTTGCAGAAGGGGCTATTTTAGATGAGGTGGTTGTGGAAGGCCATTCTCTCTGAAGAGACCAGAAATCTGAAGGAGGTAAGGGAATCAGCCTTGTGAGAACCTAGAGGGTGAGAGTTCCAGAAAAAAGAACAGAAAATGCAGTGCATTTTGCAGGAATGAGACAGGAATAAACAAAATGTGTGTCCTAAACACATGCCAATTTAGGTAAGAACAACAGAGGTCTTGATTGGATGAGAGGCAACAGAGGTTAGTAGTTGAGAACACAGGCCCTAGAGCCTAACTTTCTGGGTTTGCATCCTGGCTCTGCCACTTACAGTAAGCTGTGCAATCTTGGGGTCCTATTAACTGCTCTGTGCCTCTGTTTTCTCATCTTTAAAATATACACTAGGTTATAAATTCCACAAGGGCAGAGATGTATCTGTTTTGCTCACAGCTGGATCTCTAGTACCTAGAAGAACAGTGCAAGGCATATAGTAGGTACTCAACTGATAGCTGCCGAATTAACGGTGAATGAGTGTGATGCACAAAGGTGATTTTGGTGAGGAGCAGAGGGTGGAACTAATTTATGACATGAACTGATGAACCAAAAGAGAATAAAGAATTGTCCAATATCCCGAGGTAGGACAGACTTCCTCTCAAGGAAGATACTGTGAGAGAAGACTGTGAAAGGCAGGAGAAACAATGACATTTTTAAAGAGAATCTGGGTAAAGGTAACCTTAGGTTCGGTCAAAGAGGCTAAAGGTTTTTGAGCATAGAGCAGATGACCTGCGATCTTCTCTGGTTGGACATTATATTCACTATACCCATGGAATATATGAAAGATGCTTGATGCTGTCCGAGTTGTGATAAGATTTACAAAGGCCACCTCATTGGGAGTGATCATGCCTGAGAAACTTTGGTTCAAGCCAATAAGAACTTGGTAATTCCCTGAAGTCAGAGCACGTGAATGATCTATGCTTAGCATACAAGCTAAGACTTGACAGTTGTCAGAACCAGAAGGTCAGAAGCAGGAGCACAACAGTGAGCACAATCCAGTCTCTGCCCTCATGCTGAGTGGAAGAGAAGCACATAGAACATGTTATTGCTGGTATGCTGAGTGTCTTGAAGGAGAAGTGAGGGATGCTAAGGGAAATGGGCTACGTTTAGCCTGGGGTTAGGGAAATATTCTGGACAGAAAGAATAGCAATGACCCTGAAGCAGGAGAGAGCATAATACTTAAAAAAATGAAAAAAGCTTGCTATAGCTGGAGCATGGAGATCGAGGAGGAGAGGGGTTTAAAATAAGCCTGGAGATATGGTCAGACCCACAGAACTTCCTAGGCCATGTTAAAGATTTTGGACTCTGCATCCTGAGAGCAGTGAGGTGCCACTAAAGAATTGGAGGCAGGGGAACTACATTTACATTTTATAAAGGTTGCTGAATATATGT